AACCATTAGGAACATCATCTGGAAACACATCCTTGAAGTCCTGCAAAAGAGATTTAACAACACTAGGCAAAGAATCATTAAGTTCGTTAGTGTTGACATAGGCTGGTTTGCAAAGAACGCAACCTTGACATCACTTTCTTTTGCATAAACACTCATTGATTTTCTCTCTTTGTTTTCAATACTCTCAATCTTTTCTCTCTTTTTGGACTCTTTTTCTGCTGTTTTCTCTTTGTTTTTCGTACCCTCAAGTTCACTCTCATTTTTCAGCTCACTCTCGTTTTTTACTCTCAGTTGATCCTCATAAACCTGCTTGGGACTCAATGGTGCAAGAGTAATTGTTTTCCCTTCCATGATGAACGAATAGCGATTTTTGAAGCCATCATGTGTTACTCTCCTATCATATTGCCATGGTTTCCCCAAAAGTAAATGTCCAACATGCATGGGAACCACGTCACACAGTACCTCATCCTTATATCGTTCGATAGAGAATGAAACCAGAACTTGCTTATTTACCTTAATTTTTCCACAATCATTTAACCATTGCAGCTTATATGGCCTTGGATGCTTCTTCATAGGTAAATTAAGCTTTTCAACCAAAACAGTGCTAGCTACATTAGTACAACTACCACCATCAATAATCACACTACATACCTTATTTTTTATATGGCACCTCATGTGAAATATGTTGTCGCGTTGTACTTCATCATCTTCTTTGGCTTACACATTCAAAGCACACCTGATGACAAGTAGTTCTCCATCAACAGCATATTCCATGCCATCATCAGCATCTTCCAATGGTGGCATAGAGTCATCATCAGATTCACCCTCTGTTTCAATTTCTCCATCCTCTTTTAAGATCATTGTGTACTTATTAGGGCATTGCGATGCAATATGCCCTTTTCCAAGCATCGAAAACACTTGATGTCTCGATTTCTGCCTTGCGTATTATCTATTTTACTCTTCTCATTGTTGCTAACTTCTTTTGACTTAGATGCTGCAATTTTAGGCTTAAAAACAGAAATTTCTTCCTTTTTGCTCCAATTCAGTTTCTAAGAAGATGAGGAACCTGAATTTTGCCAAATTTTGGTGGTGGCTCCTTTACGCTTGAGTTGCCGTTCTACTTTCATTGCCATATGCACCATATCTTCCAATTCCACATAATGCTACAGCTTCACCACATTAGCTATATCATGATTTAAGCCATGCAAAAACCGTGCCATAGTTGCTTCTCTGTCCTCTTCCACATTCGCTTTAACAATTGCGATTTCCATCTCTTTGTGATAATCCTCAACGCTTTTGCACCCTTGAGTAAGGCCCTGCAATCATTGATAGAGATCACGGTAGTAGTGACTAGGAACAAATCGTTTTCTCATCACAGCTTTCATCTCTTCCCAAGTGTCAACAGGATGCTCTCGATTTCTACGTTGGCTAAGCATAAGCTAATCCCACCATACCACAGCATAATCAGTAAATTCCACCGCTGCTAGTTTCACCTTTTTCTCCTTAGAATAGTTATGGCAATCAAACACCAATTCCACCTTCTTTTCCCACTCCAAATACACATATGGATCATTCTTGCCTTGAAATGGAGGAATCTTCATCTTGATGCTACCTAAGTCACGATCGTGCCGATCTCCCCACCTTGTCAGATTTTGTTCTCTTTGGGCCCCTCTACCTCTCATAATTCTATCCATGCTAAAATTTGAGTTCTAGGCGTCATTGTTGAATGCATCTTTATAATCGTCATCGAAATCATCATTAGCATCATTCTTACACAAATTCGGACTTCCATTCTGTGTTTGGTATAACTTGGCTATCGCTGCATCTTGCTTCTCCATTTTGTCTTTAATCTCACCAAACATGATGTCCAACCTCTGAAATTGTTGTTGCATTGCGTTGAGCATGAAGGATTCATCCACATGGTGGCTTCTAGTGGTTGATTTGTCATCACCACTTGACATGATTGAAACCTGCAACAAATGTTAGAAACAGAAGAATAAAAGGACCTCACAACACTCCCTTACGTGTTTCACTCCACTCTCTCACAAAATGGCACTCAACGCTCATGTTTTACACACTGTAGAACTTGGCTTTTCTCTCAAGTGTTGCTCACACCTCTTGCCTTTTTCCCTCACTCAACTTTCCTCTTTCAATTCGTTATTAAACTAAACCAGCTCAATTCAAGTTATTTTGCAGCAATTTAACTCCAACAAATCTACAAGAGTTAAAGGAAACAAAAAGACACAAAGGAACAAACAAGAAAACCAATAAAAGAACCAAACCTAAATAAATTAAAATGAAGAGATCAGTTCAAGCACTTCCTAGTAGGAATTGACTTGACTATTCCTTAATGCAGTAGGATTCCTAACTTAGGAAGGAATAAACAAAATTGCTATCTCCTTGTTTGAATAGAACTCAAAGAGAATTTTTAACTCCTTATTGGAGTAGGATTCTTTCTTCTTTAAGGATTTAGCCATAGATTTCTTCTCTATATAAGGAATTCCAACCACAGAATTGTGTTGCTTGTTTCTCTTTGTCCTTTTTTTTTTGCGTCCTTTCTTCTCTTTTTTTTTTTGGCGACCCTCTTTCTTTTTTTTTTTTTGTATGACTTTTTTTTTCTTTTTCTTTTGTGCTTTTTGTCTCTCTCTCTCTCTTTTTTTTTTTTTTTAAACCAGCAACACAGATTCAGAAGAGCAAAATAACAAGAAGAAGAATGACACTGAATTTTTTTTTTTTTGTTTTTTTAAAGATAAAAATTGAAAATTTAAGATACGCAAACCTAATTTAAGGATCTGATGCTCTGATACCAAGATGATGAGAACCCCAAAGAAAACAATGAGACCCACAGCACGACAAGGGATTTCTAAACTCCAAGAAAGCTAAATCAGGTTTATAATAGGACCTTGACCCGTTGTTTATGTCACAACAAGAACCAAAGGTAAAAAACCTTAATCCGTTGTCTATGACGCAACAAGAACCAGAAGTAAAAAACATTGATCCATTGTCTATGACGCAACAAGAACCAAAGGTATAAAGTTGGTTGACGCCACACCCTCGAACAATTAAGAACGAGAATGATAAGTCAAGTTAGAACGCCACAAGAATAATCTTGATAAATTTTGTAAAGTTTTGAAACGAACTAAAGAGAAAAGTCTCTCAAAATCTCAGATTCAATAGCCTCCTCCCCATTAGGGTTACAAGCCTTTTAAATAGAGAAAACAAATCCTAATCAGAATAGGAAATTAACACCTTAAGTCATAAACCTAATAACCATGAATTGGGCTTCAAATAAGCGAATGTTCAGCCCAAAAATAATACAAAAAATGTGAAAATTACTAAAAATAACCTAAAATAACACAAAATATCAGTTTGCTACAAATTACGACAGAATTATGCGATTTTGATGCAAATTGTGTAATTCTGTGCAAATGACCTCAACTAAGCTTCTCTTGAACCTGAATGATGTTTACCATGCCTTGATAATCATCCAAGCTTCGATTTGCTTGTTGTATGTTGTTTTCAACCTAGATCTGCTCAATAAGGCCATTTAAAGCTTCACGCATCTTCTTAGCTCTAGCTCGCGTGACTGGACCTCCTTGGGTGTGTAATGGATCACACGACGTAGTAGATATGCTGTCGTCTTGATTCCCATCACACAAACCAAAACAAAAAAATATTTACTCTTATAGTTTAATTTCCTATGGCTAGTTCAAAAAGTTTTCAAAAAAAAAAATTATGCAAGCAAATGTTTGAAATCAATGACAAATGTGGCCAGAGTGTAAGCAAATTTTACAAAGATGGTAGATAGGCTACTTCGAAAAGTTGGTTGTAAATGTAACAACTAATTTGCAAGCAATCCAAACGCAAATATGCAGGATGTACCAAATGAAAAAAAAAAAAAGAAAAAAAAGAAAAAAGGATGTGATTGCTAACATTGTTGTTGGGTAAGAATGGAGAAGAAGAAATCAATATTATGAGGACGAATGACACTACTAATGCATTTGCAAGAATGAATTCTTTTTTCATTTCTTATGGTCAAGCCACTATCTAAGGAAATGGTACAACAAGTGGTTTAGTATAAAGCAGGAAAAAAAATTGCTAAAGACAAAAGTGGGATCACTCATGAAGTAAAGAATTGCTAGCCATTGGAAAAAAATGAGGATGATGGCATAAAAAATGACTATGTTCATAAAAGATAGAAAGTAAGCTATTAAAAGAAAAAAGCACAATAGCATGCCACATGATGGATTTCTTACTTCTAATATAGCCATGTTTTTTCATGATGTCATCTTTTTTTTGAGTCAAAAGTGCACTACTTGCTTTTAGCATGCCATGTTTTCTATCGATTCAAGTAATGTAGCAAGAGCAAGATCTGGATGGTGCAATAATTTTTTGGGAAAGGCATAGACTTCGAGAGGCAAATTGGAGCTCCAGTAAGACTTTAACTATCCTATAATGATACCCCTCTCTCCAATAGAACTTTCACTTCCCAAGAAGAATTTTGGAGTGGAAACTTTCAAAAAAACTAAGTAGAATATTTAGGGAAGAACTAGATCTAGCAGAGAGGAGACTTAGATTAGAATTGTTCGTCCTTTTGTTGTGGAGACAACCCTCCTTTTAAAGAGGGGTCATGTCTCGATTGTCCATTGGATCAGGAATTAGATTAGTACAATTGGAGCTCTTCCAATTGGCATTGCAAAGAGATGTAAAACTTGGCCTTCAAGGGTTGGCTATGGATCATTAATCATTAAGGTTCTAGAAGGTTTGATGGAATGAGGGCCAATCTATCTGCCCACGTTTTAGGTTCTAAATAATTCTTTGGATGGAAGGCTCTAATCACTTGTTTACTTAGATGCTATAGAATTCCATGGATGGAGGGTTTATATGTGGGAGGAGAAAAGCTTATGCTAAGAAGGAAATGAAGGATTTGAGGAAGGTTGTGAGGAGAAGAGAGATTTTCACTTTGCATCCCAATTACGGATTTTATTTTTGGCAAATGTCGTTTTTTTTTTTTTTTGTCTCTCTCTCTCTTTCTCTCTTTTTTAATTTTTAGTTTCTTTATTTTATTTTATTTTATTTTTGTTTATATTCTATCCTTAGAGTCTCAATATGTAACCTTAATGCCTTTCTTTTGAATTTGTTCAATTTAGTCCTTTCAAATGTTTTTGTTCTTCTCAATTTATTCATTGACTCAAAAAAAAAAAAAGCATATTATTCAAATTAATTAAGACATGAACTAGGATTAATCTTGGGCCAATTGGGGTGTCTATAACTAGCATTTTCTATTGGACTAGGATGTGGATTTGTTTTATTGCTTTTTAACAACGACCCCCAACAAAACTTTGCTCAAGGTTCAAAAGTAGATCAAGGAATGAGTGTGCAACTTGGGATAGAGAGTATATTTTAGATTGTTGATGGTAATAATAGAAAATTTATATTTGCTAAATTATATTACCTTTTGTTTACACCACAAATAATAATTTTTTTTTATAACACTATATGCCCCTAAAAAAGATGTCATGCCCTAAACTTTGGAGTAGGACAGATGTCATAGACTTGTAAGTAGGACCCATAAGTACACAAGGTTTATAACCAAGTTAATTTATTGAGTGTGGCCAAAACTAATAATTAAAGTTTGAAAATATCTCAAATATTATTAAAAGTTAAATAATATTCAAATAAATAGTACTTCTAAGTCAAATTATGTAATAGTTGCTAATTAAGTCCTCTAACTTTCTCATACTGACAAATAAATTTAATAACTAAATCAAGTCCTAACTAAGTCCAAATCAAATCTAATAAGAGACTATCGCATGCCCCAATCCCCAACATCTCTAACATCACTACGACAAATGGTGAATAAGGAAAAACATGAGATATAATTCCAATAAGTGAATGTTGACTCAATGTACTCCAAGAGGGGGGG